TTTAATAAAAAATAAATCAATGAAATTAATACACAAATATATGCAACTGGGTTTCATTTCACCCCCAAAACCATTAAATAAATAAAAATGATAAAGTATATTTTGCATAAAGAAATTTTTCCACAAATTCTCATAACTACATTCAGATGTTTTACTTCAGAGTTTTTGTAATTCTCATTCTCCATAATAATTCTTAATAGACATTCACTACTTTAATACACTAATTTATTATTAGTATTACAGTAAAAATCAAGGTAATAAAAAAGTATTGCAATTATGTATTGTTTGCATTATATTATTTGTATTATAGTATTTGGGGGTAAAAAGCCTTTAAACTTTTTCATATGTTTTGTCGTACAATGTCATTCTAATTATTATATTGTTTTTGTATAACATTATTATAATGTTTTTAAAAAAAAAAATTCTTTTTGATTTTGGTGGATAAAAGCCAGATAAAGTATCTTACTTGCGCTTGACATCAAAGTCCAAGATGCGAATGTAGTCAACCAAAACGGCAAATGGCCCATCTGCCAGATGAGTGGTGGACTGTCGCAGGATCTGATTCAGCACTGTGCGGTGGGTTTCTGTTAAAGACAGAGAGAGGGAGTTCATATCGAGGACAGCCTTCATCAGTATTCATCATGTATTCCTCTACACTGTGCAAAACCATTAGGGACAGCTTGTGTTTGATTGACTCACCTGCAAAACGCAGGAACTTCTGTGTGTCTGGAGGCAAGTTGGAGGAGATGTGCATAGAAGAGGGCTCCCTTGAAAAGAAGGGGTCCAGGGAGGAGGGGGTGGCGGGGGTGAGCGGGGCAGGGGACAATGGGGGTGGCTCATCCTTGATGTGTGACAGCTGGCTCTCTCGAGTGTCTCGAACCGGAGGTTTGCTTTCCCGCTCGGTGGCATGCACCAGGAAAAAAGCCTCCACTGCAGGTTGCAGCACTACAGCAGTACAAAGAGATTTGTTAGCATGAAATAATACCTTTATTTCTAAAAACATTAAATAAATAAATAAAATAAAAATACCTAAAACTGCATGTTGGTCATGAGACTCCTCAAGCTCTTTCAGACACTCCCCCAGCATGTCCCATAGTTCATCCAACAACAGCTGCTCACTCAAAAGGGGTAGGTCAGGCAAGCGCTCCTCCTGTTCCTGCTGACTGCTGCTTTCTTCACCTTTTTACACATGCAAACCATATTTTAACATACATACATACTATATAAACCAATCATTTCAGACACTGATTTTTCTCAAGTTATATCAATGCAGCACCAGGTAAACATTCATTTCACATCCATTTTCACAAATTACTTTAAGATCAAATAATAACTGGTAGACTCCTCGCAGTACCACTATAGATTACAGCAGTCACATATGATTCAAAAAAAAAGTTCAGTGATTTCTATGATGTCATTCCAGCTACTGATGTTCCTCTATTGCCATCACGTCACATCTATTATTTCACAGGACCTCACCTATTGCTGCCTGGTCTTGCTCTAGGGGTGAGGGCTGGTCCACATCCATAGGCGAATCATCTCTTTGAGCTGCTGGGGGCTCGGCAACAGAGTGCACCTCCGACTGAACCAGGGGAACCAAGGAACAGGGTGAGATTCAATACAATTCCCTCCCGACAGAGAGGAAGAGACAAACAGTGTGTATAATGTAGGGAAAAAAGATGAAGTGGGGGTAGTCACAGACTGAAACCAGATGCAGTGCTAGAGACTCAGTATCATGCATCAAAACATTCAGACATTGGTGAGAGAGGGGGTTGGGATGGAGCTTAAGCAAAGAAGCATGGACAGCCAGCCAAAAATCAAACCACGCACAAAGAGACAAAGTCAGAGATGAGAGAGAATCACAAAGCTGGATGCAACATTCAAATATCTCAAACACTGCACCATACAGACTTTGTGCATTAAATGCATCAAGATGCAGTGGAAGGCAGAGCAGTAGAGAATAGTAAAAAACATTAATACATTTTACGGTGTTTTAATTCTTATATTAAACATAGAAATACACATCTAAAATAAAGATATAAAAAGAATATTGTCAGATTACTACAAAAATGTTCAGCTATTTCGCCCTGCCCTGTGTGTAATACGGTGCAATATGTCCTTCAAAAAAATGGATTGTAACTTTACTAAAATAAGTCAGTAATAAGCAATAAGTCAGATAACACTACTAAGAAATTCTCAGGATGTTATGAAAATGGGTGTGTGTGAGGGTCAGTAAAGTCAGTAGCAGTCTGCCTGCTGTCAGTGCGGCCCATGCTAACCGTGGCTGTGCTGGCCGTGCCAGCGGGGGGGTTGTTGGTTGCAGAGGTACTGGGGGCAGACGATCCAGCCACAGCCACAGCAGCGGATGCAGCAGCAGCAGCGGAAGAGGATGCGGATGAAGAGGGTGGGGGTGCCTGCTGTAGACGGCGTGCCCTCTGCCCCTCTCTCACCATCTGAATGATGGCGTCCGCTTCAGCCTCTAGCTGACGGACCGCAGCCTGGATACTGCTGGCCGAGCCCAGACTGGTCGAACCTGGAGACAAATGGAGAATAAATCGAGAGAGACCTGTGAACATAAAATAAGCTGTCTATATCGCTCAATGGGAGAAGCGACTCGAAGCTTCATAAGAAGCATAGACATGTTCTTAAAGGACTAGAGGACTCCTCTGTGTTAAAAGAGAGTGACTTACTCAGTCTTCCTCCTGTCTGCTTAGCTTTCTTGTTAGCGCGCCGTGTGTCTTCCCTAAGCTGGATGATGACCTGCAGCACGCGCAGGAAAAACTTCTGCGTGGAGGTCTTGGACGTGAGTGAGCTCATGCAGGGCAGCTGCAGCTCACGACCACCTAACGTGCGCTTCTGAGCAGCCACAATCACCACACTCTCTGACCCGTCAAATCTGTAATTCATGTACACCCAAGGAGAAGGACAAGTACTGTTAATGTAAAGAAAATTTTATGCAGATGGGAGATAAAGTAGTGAAATAGTCTGGAGAAAATGCGAATTTTGTGTCAATTTTTACTCATTTATCAAAAGCTTTTATTACCGTTAACCACACTAAATGGAATTTGTACCAACCTAACTGCAGCCAGCTTAAATCTAGAGGCTACTGTACAACAGTTTAGGGTCAGTAAGTTTTTTTTTTATAAAGAAATTAGCTTATTTAACAAAGAAACATTTAACTGATCAAAAGTGACAGTAAAGACGTTTATAATTCCTATTTCAAACTTTCTATTCATCAAAGAATCCTGAAAAATGTATCAAAGTTTTCACAGAAATTTTAAGCAGCACAACTTTTTTCAGCATTGATCATAAGAAATGTTTCTTGAACACCAAATCAGCATATTAGAATGATTTCTGAAGGACTGAAGATTAGAGAAATTGCTGCTGAGAATTTAGATTTGCCAGAAATAAATTACATTTTAAAATATTTTATAATAGAAAAGTTATTTTAAATTGTAATTAAAAATACAGCATTATTGTGAAATATTATTAATCAAATTAAGTCAGTTAATAATAATAGATAATAATAGTCTTTACAGACCTTCAAAAAAAAATCAAAAAACAACAACAATTAAGTCGATCCCTAACAGTAACGCAGGTTGAAACTCTGTCCTCACCTGCTGGTCATCTTGCCCTTTAGGCGTGTGGTGATGGATGGGTCCTCATGAGAAGCTTCAGGAGACTGAGCATCAGCACGTGCTCTTCTCTGCTGCTCCAGGTTATACTCCCTCAACTCTGCCAATAAAGTGCCTAAAAACCAGAGCAGATGCAAAAGAGAAGGATTAAGTTTTAATTTTTACAAACTATGCTGCAAAACAGGTTATTTGCCAACCTTCATGGTGGTGACAACACAATCATGAGTAAATTAGCATATGCCTGGTGGTCTACATATAATACATATTCACTATTGAGCACCTTAACCTACCATAATGAGCAACCATACAGAAATCTTCTAAAGTATTGTAGTACTGACCAATTTGTTTGCAGAGGGTGTATCCGAGGTGACGCGCCCCACTGAGTAGAAGTCTTAGTACAGTGTCTCGGGTCAGTGCATCCCCTCTGGACAGCTGCAACAGGATGTTGGCCGCGTCCTCCAGACCTTCCTCCGAACATGAGTGGGATGTCAGCACCTGGACACAAACCACAGGAGGTAACTAATCCAACTGCTGAGCTGGGTCAAAAGAGCCCAGGGTTAGGATAACCAGACATGGGGTGACATATGTGCGTGCACCATCATTAAATACCTCCACAGAGAGTTGCAGCTGTTTCTCTGTTAGTCCAGCAGAGGCCAGTTTAGTTTCAATGTCAGTGCTGCTCACTGCTGCCTTCTGTTTTCCTGCTAAAATAATGAGGTATAACGATGTGATTTAAACATTGTATTGCCAGCAGCCCAAACACAATTGACTAGTCAATCATCAGCATTATACAAAATTATTTGACTTCAGAATGACCTGAACTGATCCAGCACCAAGCTGGATATCTTCCATATAAATCTGTGTGTTTTTTCAGTTAGTTCTCACTTTTCATTGCACATTATAAATTTGGACTGAAATACATTAAAGCAGTAAGCCTCAAAATACCGTGGTTCACAGTGATTTTAGAACTGGTAAGGAGTGTTGTTAGGCACAATGCAGAGCGGAAAAAATAATTGCTTATTTAATTTCTATATTTCTTTGTATTTATCCTATGTTTGTAATCTTTTTTACTGACTGTTTACTTCAATAATTCAATATTTGTTAACTGTTTGATGACATTTTACTTTCATTAGCTAGCCTAATATTAATTTCTGCCGTGTTAGCAAAATTGGTATTGAGCATTGTGAATTATCAAATGTATAGATTATTGTACAAAAGCTTCAAGCATGGCTCAGCCAAACGTAAGCAAGAGCTGGAACTATCCATTTTAATTAGGATTTTATCTCAGTGGAGACTGTTATAACACCACAAATCAGCAGGTATTTATTCATGTTTTCAAACGCTCTGAGAGAGACTCACCAGCAATACTGCCGGAGGGGGTGGTGCTGCTTGCAACAACAGATACCATAGTTGGTGGTTGAGAGGGCGTCGGGCCCACTGAGCCCTGCGCTGTGCCCGTACCTGCCACCACTGAGATGGTCCCTGACCCCGCTGTGGTTTGAGTGGCAGGTGCAGAGGGGGTGGCAGTTGGGGCCTGAGGCACTGGGTGGCTGGCTGGAACCTCCGTGGCCTTGTTGTCAGGCAGAGCGATGGAGATCAAAGAGAGCAGACGGAGTAGTTTCTCAGTAAGAAGGGAACTACGGCGGATCACTGGGTGGGAGAGCATGTTCATCAGCTGGCCCAGCGGAGAAGCCTCGAGGCTCAACAGAGCCCCCTCTGTCTCACCAGCACCCCCTAGAGGCACAGTCTTCATGGAGGCCTTGCCTTTACGGCTCACATTCATGTTGTCCAGCTTGACCAGGAGATCCCAGAAATCAGTGGAGATGCCCAGGGACTGTGGTGTAACTGTGCAGCCACTCAGGGAATTGTGGGTAGAAGGGAGATTACTCAGGGTAGCTGAGGAGTTGCTCTGGCTGGTGCCACCTGACCGGCAGCTTCCACTGGCAGTCGTTATTGAGCTGGCACAAAGACGAGTGTCCAACTCTGATGAGGACGATGATAGGGGATCTTTACAGCGCTGCTGAGTGAAGTGACTGGGAAATACCTAGAAGAAATAAGAGCGAGAGAAACAAGACTTAAAAACAATAAATGCACTTTTTAATCTGTACACAATACATTTTGTGTATTGCTTTATTGCATTTAATGCTTAAATTTCTTTTTGTCATGAAACTTGTTTTTAAGAGGACAACACTTAAGTTTCTGTTACTTAATTCAATACCATGGTAATAACATATAATTTGAATTTGATGTTACACATGCCTAATGCACTGACAAATGATGAGTGCCCTTTAGCTAAAGGTGCTCTAGTACCTTGGCCAGTTGGATGAGGGTATCCAGTACATGTCGACAGACAACTGGAGCAGCCTGTGGGTGAATGTGAACAGCTGATCCACCTCCTCCCCCTGCACATGCCACTCCCGTTCCTGACACTCCACCTCCGAGCCCTCCTGAGCTCATGCCCGCGCCTGCTGAATGCTTCTCTGCGTGTTTCCTGCCTGACGCCCGCTGGATCTGAAAGATATTGGTCCTGCATCCCAAAGCTGCATCCATTGAAACAGACAGCCAGGAGAGCTGACTGGAACTACGTGATTCCACGCTGTTCAACAGCTCCAGAGAGGAAGATGAGGAGGAGGACGATGATGAAGAGGCTACAGCTGCCTGCGGGGATGAAGTGGAACCCTTCCCTCCACTGGATGAGCCCTGGCTTAGTGAGCGCTTACCACGGGACTCCTCCAGGCGTGCAGTCTCCAGGCAGAGCTCGCTCTCGCTGCTACGCTGCAGGATAGACAAGAGGCTGCGGATGACCCAGCCACGTGTCTGAGAGTGGTAGCACAAGTTACGCAGCACTCTGTGGAGGCGGCTGGTATTGAGCTTTGGCTCGTCCACAAAAAGCAGCACTAGAAGGCAGGACAAGGCCTCATGGTCCAATAAAAGACGCCCCCGCAGACGCAGGAGAGAATCGACATTAGAGCTAGAGGGCCTAGATTTAAAAATGAACAAAAGATTAATTAGAGTTTTTAAATGTAACTGTCCACAAACAAATACTGCTTTCATCAGGGCTTCACTCATATTTGCAATTTAAAATAGGTGTGCAAACTGAAAACTGTATTTAGGAGCATGTGCTTTTAATGAAAGTCCCTGCAGGTCCTTAAAAGTAAAAAAAAATCTGTTTTATTAATTTTAAGATAAAAAAAATCTTAAATGGTATAACTAATGTCAATTAAAATTTTAAAAGTTCTTAAATTTGGGGATAGAAAAATCAGGAATCACAATATGGTCTAATGTGTAAATTAAACTTCATGAGGCTGTGGCTGAAATCAATGTGAGCACTGTACATTCAAAGTCAAAACACAGCACTGTTGCGGTTCACACAATCTATTCGTGAATTTTGACAACGTTTGCTTAATTGTGTTTATTTTGTAATTTGTTGTAGGTTGTAAGAGTGCATATTTTATCTCCGTCATCTTTTTATATGAGTAGCCGGTAAATCAGACATTTTTATTATTGATTTTTAGGTTACACAAACTGTCTATGGCAATTAATTCTAAGTAAACTCTAGCAGCTTTTGTCTGGGCTGCCCTATCACAGGAAGACTAAGAACATCATTTAACACACTATTCAATATTTATAGAGAGAATTACTATTTACTATTATCAGCACAATAATCTGTTCATTAAAGTTTAATGTGCTTGTAATTGTTTCAAGCATCAAGCCCTTTTCATTGTCACACTCACCGGCTGTGATTGGCACTCCCTCCCATTTGAAAAGTCCCCCCTCTTTGCACAGCCAATCGAGTGTATTGTACCCCACGGTTGCCACCGAGACGGCTTGTGAAGGCGGGTGAGCGTAGGATGGCGGACAGGGCTGAGGAAGAACTGTGACCGAACAACCTCTCATGCATCAGTTGTCTCTGTCTGGCCTCCTGTTCCCTTCGCAGTGCTGCAGCTTCTGCTGCAATATCTGGGGGCATGACCGCCAGCACGCTATCCTCCATGTCCTCCAAAACAGATCGCCGCAACTCAGAGGGCAGGGTCTGGATGAACGTGACAGGGTCCAGAGGTTGATCGCCCTGTGGGGGTTGCTGGGATAACTCTCGACGCTGCTGCTCCGCCCGCTGCTGGGCCAAGACCTGATAGCATTAGAAAACATTCAAGTTTTGAAGATTTTTTTCTGTTTAGAAAAGTTATTTAAAATATCTCTGCAATTGTTACTCATACCTCTTCCTGTATTGCAGGTGGCAGAGCAGCTAGGAATTCTGGGCTGACCTCAGTAAGCCCTGGCCCTCCTCCCAGCACAGTGTTAGCTGACGATGCCAATGTGGAGGTGACAGGAGGCCGAGAAGGAGGTCTGATTCCCAGCTGGTTCTGCAGCACCTCCCGACGGATGTCTTCAGGCAGTGCTGCCAAGAAAGATGGGTCCACACCTTCTGGCAGACTGATGCCTGCAAGGAAGTGACAAAAACATGTGATTCAAAGTTGAGGTATAGCTCTATATCCATCATCAATCTAAGCTGAAACACCAACCTGCCAGAGGGTCCTCTTCTTCATTGCTGGTGGATGGGAGGGGCTCCTCCTGGATGGCCTGCGATTGGCTATCTGCACTGTCACTCCGAGGCATGGTCTCACCAGGAGATGAAACAGAAGTTGAACTGAAAAAGATTATAATATGGCAAGAATTCAATAGTCATACAAAACTAAGTACATTATTCTTATTGACAGTATAAAATTATGCTTTTAAAGGAACTTCACATTGCCTAACTTTTTGGCTTTATAAAGTGTACTAATTGAACTGAACTGCACTGAACTGAACATTGACAGACACTTTTACTCATCTATTAAAAGTAAATGTAAAAATTAAAGAGTAAATTTACCTTTAAATGCAAATGGAAGAAAGCTTCTAACAGGTGACTGGCTGATAATTTAACCAATATTTAACCATTTGAGACCATCATCATTGGCCAATACAGACCTTTAGGCCTTTTGTTAGCTTCAAATCCTACAACCTTGCCAACAGATGTGTATTGTTCTCAGATATTTTTTGTGTGAAATTTAAAGATAATAAAGACACTTCTTTTAAAACAAACAAACAAACAAAAAAAAGAATGCAATAACAGCCGATCCCTACTCATCTATTTATATATGAAGTACTGTGGTCCAAATACTCACCCTGTTTCTGCATCTGTTTGCCTGTCTGTGAGGCCACTGTCACCACTTCCTGACAGTTCCTGAGACATGTGATTGGGTGGAGTGGAGCTGGAAGCAGGCTCTTCCTGCGTTCCTGAGGCAGGACTGCTTGTATCCATGGGTGAACCCTCAAGCTGAGACACACCCACTGGCACAGGCTCTGAACTTTCAGCTATATCTGGACTGAGAGAAGCTGAGAAAGAGAGAAAAAAAAGCAGGGGAAAAAAAACTCAACTCATGTTCGCAACTGACAAACAAATCAACATACGCAATGCAAAAGGCAGGGGAAAGTACATGCAGTAGTTGCATGTAGAATGCAGTGGGATCATACAACAATTTTGACAAAGACTCAGCCTCTTCACAGAACATTTAGCTGTTGCATTTTTAAGTAGAATAAGGAGAAGAATTCACTGTGATGTGAATGTCACTACACCAAACCAGTGTGTAAAATCTAATTTTACAGGATACAAAGTTAATCTACCTTCCCCGACTGCATCCAATGCTCCTCCTACTCCTCTCTCACCAATAGTGGGTGCAGGTGACATCTCCATCTGAGAAGCTTCTGCCTCACAATTCAGGCTATCAGATGCTGAGAGCTGGGGCAGCCCCGCCCCTGCCAAGGCTCCGTGAGAGTCAGGATTGGAGTCAGCCAGCAGCAGCTCTGTGATTGGCTGGTGCACCTGCTGACTGATGGCTGTTTCCAGAGAGACGAGGGCTTGCTCGTGTGGGGCAGGGGTGGTTGGGGTGACTTCTCCTGATGGGGGTGCTGTGAGGAAACCCTCAGAGGTGCGAGAAGGGTCCAGACAGGACGACACCCCACTCTGAGCCTGTTCTCCTTCTGACCAGATAACAGAATGAAAAGAAATGAGTATTGTGGACATGATCAGTTAAGATAAACATAATAAATGACACTGTAGCTCAGTTGTAGAAGGTAATGAAAAGGCAGGGCATGTGATTGAGGGTCTGCAGCGAGGAAGGCAGTAAATTGTATAGTTATCTCCTTCAAGGGCCACACTATACTGATCCCCAACAACAACACAACTTACTACCTCACCACAACACAGCGACTGTGGCCTCATCCAACTGGAGACGATAACTACCTTCAAACATTTTACAGCCAAAGGCAAAAAAAATAATAAATAAATAAACGTAGATGTGTTTATATTGACAGTAGTGTGGTGAATGCAATTCATGTAGATGTAAACCTACAAATAATTGAGCAATTAACAATTAGCTAGAAACAATTGATTGATTGAGCAACTAATTGTTGCATAGCAGCAGTTGCCGCAGCGATGGAGATAGGCAGGAAGATTATCCAGCTGTTGAAGCGGTTACCGTGGGAAAGACAGTAGACTGTATAGTTATCTCCCAGATCTGGTGTGATCCTAAAACTATACAAACTACTACCTCACCCCACAGCCCACAGCAGAACTCATCCAGAACCCTGGTTCTTCACGATGAAATATGAGTAAATTTTCACATTTCAGAAACAAAACACTGTTTGATTTGCATTTTTTTGTGCTCAATGAAAAAGCAATTAACAAAAACATGCACTACATCACTATCAACATCAAATTCTGTAAAAAAAATACAAACATGCAATGCTCTTACCTGCAGCGTTCTCTACAGCTCCATTGACTGTTCCAAGCCCAGAGCCCTGTGGGAAATAAAAACAATTCATCCATCCTTACTGTGAAATTAACACTGAATTAAGGATGTGACCTGTGTCCTGGCTAATACCCATGGTCCTGTTATAAATCAATACTGATTGAATTCAATCCAAAAATCACAGTAATGTATACACAGAAATATTTTTTTTTCCACATTATAAAACAAATTCATAATGAATGATAAAGAGTTGCATCAGCACAATAACAGCTGCGTCACATTAAAGCTGCAGTCCGTAACTTTTTTGGTTAAAAATGATCCAAAATCAATATTTGAGCAAGTACATAACCAGCCAGTGTTCGAAACTATCGCCTTACTTTAGCCCGATTCACAATGGTCATCTTATAATAATGTTTTCTAATTTGAGTGGTACGGGTAGGTTTTTGCGGGAAATTCGAGCATGCCGCTGCGTCATTACGTCACTTCTGTAAACAAAGAAGTTGTCCCGGCTACTAGGCTATCGCCTTTTCTCACAGCAGCTGGAATAATTAAATGTATCATTTTGATGGCGGCTTGTAATCCAGAAAGGATTATGTGTTTATGAAACACATGTGAATGCAGCAAAAATGTGTATAGATATGACACTGTTATTTATTTATGTTAATGATTGTTCTAAATATTCTGTATTTTTCTTTGTATGCGATTGATAGAGTAGCAATTTGACAATTTCATGTTAAATAAGTAAATGAAAGATTGCTCTGATCTGTCACATATTAGGAGTTAAACGGATCACAGTTGATCCGTAATACGTACGGATGAGACCCTACCGTTCGGCACGCACGTGATTCGCAGATTAATTTGCCAATTTACACGTACAAGCAATTTTAAACCGCAAGAAGAAGAAACGAAAGAGCGCTCAATCCGTTACTCACGCGCTGTTCTCGCACACAAAGCGCGCACAAGAGATGTGTTTCAGACAGCGCGGAAATACCAAGTTGCGTATACATACCTGATACATACACACAAAAACATGGACGTAGTGTCCGTGACGTCATCCGTAGGTTTCCGAAGAGGGTTTTTGAAGCCTAAAGTAGGTTGAGCCGGCCATCGCCATCTTGGCAGTGCGTCACCCCAGACAGTGGTGTATTGTAACGAAGTAATAATACTTCGTTACAGTACTTAAGTATTTTTTGGGAGTATCTGTACTTTACTTGAGTTTTTATATTTCTGCCAATTTTTACTTTTACTCCACTACATTTCCTAATTAAAATGTATACTTTTACTCCGATACATTTCCCCTAAGCATATTTGATTGAGTGCGTGTATCATGCTGGTATCTTAAGGACTTTCGTGGACAGCTGACTCCTACATTTTTTCATATTCTTCATATTCTGTGTGGTGGTCAGATAGAAATTAATATTTTCCAATAAGTTTAAGTTGATTTTTACCTTTTATGGGCATTTTACCTTTATAAAGCCGTTTTTTCTATAAGTGTGCATCATCTTTTAAATCAAATTCTTACATTTAATCAGTGAATACGAATAATAAGACATTTGGGCTGTTACCAAGCAAATGAAATCAGTATCAACAAAATTCATCTTTGCAATCCAGACATAAGCTGCACCTGAAGTGGCATTTAGAAGTGTTTACACACTGTTTACTGCAGAACATGAATGCATTTAACCTGCAGTTACAAATGCATAAATAATTTGCTATATTAAACATAAAAAAATTAATAATGATATATGAAATGATTTAAAAAATGAAAAGGTACTTTAAATGTGAAATTAAAACCGCCAGTAGGTGGCAGCAAGTCACTGTTAATAAGTGAGTCATTGCGATTGAACCGAATCATTTAAACAGTTGATTCATTCAGGAACAAAACGCTGTCATGTTGCTCAAAGACGCAAAAAGCGCTGTGGCTTTGTTTGGAATTATTTTTGTTGCCGAAATAGTGCAAAAACAGGCAATATGGTGTCTAAAACGTAAGTCTTTTAATAAAACTTCTAGTTTATTGAAAAAAAATTTTTTATATTACATTTGTATATGGTAATTTTTGGAGAAAAAAGGCACTCTTCCATGTGAAACTGAGTAACTATAAGAATTGGTATAAATATACACATTTTCTGCCCCAATGTCTTGAATTTGTGATCATTCTGAATGTATTTTAATAGACTGAATCATGCAGTGAAAGAAGGCACTGTAAATGCACACGCGCACTAGACTTAACGTAATGCGTGCACTCTGTAGGTGTTTTGAATGTGTTTTTGCGTCGTGAGAATATTGAGCAAAATAGCTCACTTGTCATGGTGTTACTTAACTATATCATGTTATGAATAAACTAAACATTGTGAATTTTTACCTCCGTCTGTTTCTTCTGAGTTTTTGTGTGCTGTTACGCTCATTTGTTCTGAAGTCTCTCACAATAGAGACAAAGTGAGCCTCAGCGCGACCTTGTATTCTGTATTCTGCTAACTTACTGCAATTCTCTCCGATGACGCAGTAACTTACCGCGGGGAAGAAAAAAATCTTTGGTCTGTCCAATGATTGTAAACAGTCATTAGGTCCGTCAGACTTGAGATATTTTAGCGGTAATGTGACCAAAAATATTTAAGACCCATCGAATCCGAATTTAAGACATTTTAAGACTTTTTAAGGCCTTATATTAGGAAAACGTTAAGACATTTTAAGACTTTAAGGACCCGCGAACACCCTGTAGGTAATCACCAAATCACACAGAGTGCACGCACGTTGATTTATTAGTCTATTAAAACTCAAAATTCCAGGCATTCTAAATTGTAGACGGCAAAAATGCTTCAGTGTGCTTTTTATATTTATATAATTTAATATAGTTAACTTAATCTATATCACACAAAGAGTAGGCCCCTACCGTTTTTCTGCAGATATCAGTATGAACACATTTAATAATCATTTTATACAAGTTCAGTAATGCAATAAGTGACTTACATTTTAGACATAATATTGCTTGTTTTTGCTCAATTTCGCTAACAAAGTAGTTCCAACTAATAGTTCCAAACAAAGATCACAGCACTGTTTTGCGCCTCTGAGCAATGGACGGTGTTTACTTATTGAATGAACCAGCTTTTTGAACGAATCGGTTGAATATGATTCAGTGATTCACTCATTAACACAGTCAAATGCTTTGTTTCTGAATGAATCAGTCGTTTGAATGAATCGGTTGAATCTCAATGACTCACTCATTAACAGTCACTTGCTGCCATAATCATTTTATACAAGTTCAGTAATGCAATAAGTGACTTACATTTTAGACATAATATTGCTTGTTTTTGCTCAATTTCGCTAACAAAGTAGTTCCAACTAATAGTTCCAAACAAAGATCACAGCACTGTTTTGCGCCTCTGAGCAATGGACGGTGTTTACTTATTGAATGAACCAGCTTTTTGAACGAATCGGTTGAATATGATTCAGTGATTCACTCATTAACACAGTCAAATCAATAGGTTACTTGCGTAACCCCGGTTCTCTGATAGCATTAAGTGAGGTGTCTCACTATGGGATACGCCCCTTCCGCGTATTCCTAGAAGCCCTATTACATTACGCCAGCCCCAATTGGCTGGCAGACGTGACGTTGTGTCTGGGAGTGGCCTCCCCACCCCTCAGTATAAAAGGGCACAACACAATGTCACCACGACATTCAAAACAAGCACACCTCTTCCTCGCTTCGCACAGCAAGGAGGGTGATCTGGTGAGACACCTCACTTAAAGGGTTAGTTTGCGGTTTTGAAACTGGCAAAGCGCGACGCACGCCCTTCATGAACCTACATACCAAAAGATGCTGTCCCACAGTTTTGTTATCAAAACCAATGTGGCAAGCAGAAATAGCAGCCAGAAACACTTTCCCTTGGTCTATCAAATCCTGAAGAAATTATAGAACAACTGCCACTGAACACTGAAAGGGAATCTCGTGTTTAGTTGTGCACCAGCGCTCAAACACGCCTCATTTGCATTCATAAAGAGACCTAGTCGATGAAGCTCTAGCATTTTGTATGGTTCTAATAACGCTGTCAGACAGACCGGTTGTATTTAGATTGAACCACTCACAGGCCAGGCCCATAGTGCCAGGCGTTCTGGATGAGGATGAAAAATCTCCCCCTCTGCTTGTGACAAAAGATCTCTGCACAGCGGGAGAGACCACGGGTCTTCGTACAGCATATGTATGATCTCCGCTAGCCAGTATTTCCCTGGCCACCTCGGAGCTATTAATATAAATTTCAGTCCCTCCTCCCTCACTCTGTAAAGTGTTGGGGATATTAACGCTATCGGTGGGAACGCGTAAAGGAGAGTGCGAGGCCATTCGTGCGCCAGCGCATCTATCCCCAGAGGCGCGCTCTGATCTTTCAGAGAGAACAACAGAGGACACTGAGAACTGCCGTGGGACGCGAACAGATCCACTGTCGCTCTGCCATATATGCTCCAAATCTGTTCGACCACTTCCCTGTTCAATTTCCACTCCCCGTAGAGGGGATTGCCCCTGGACAGCAGATCCACACCCTGGTTCATGACACCCTGTACATGCGTCGCTCTCAGGGATAAAAGATTGGCATTGCGCCATAAAATCAGTTTGCGTGCTAACTTGTGCAAAGAAAGTGATCTGAGACCTCCCTGTCGGTTTATGTAAGCCACAACTGTAGTGTTGTCCGTTCTCACGAGAACATGATGCCCTTTCAGAAAAGGAAGAAAATGCTTCAGCGTCAGAAAAACGGCTAGCATTTCCAAATAGTTTATGTGAAGATTGGTCAGTTGTTGACCCCATCTTCCATTCACTATCCTGCCCTCGTGAATGCCCCCCCAACCGGACAACGACGCGTCTGTTGTTATGATTTGTCTGGCTCGAACCACGCCCATGGGTACCCCTTGAACCAGAAAGGTCGGGTGTCTCCACTGGCGCAGTGCCAAGACTGCCTCTGACGTCACTCTCACTCTCCTCCGGGAGTGACGTAATGGGTCCAGCCCCTGAGACGCTAACCAGCGTTGAAACTCTCTCATGAACAGTCTGCCTAAGGGAAT